CTTTCCTTTAATAAAGGCCCACTGACAACTGTGTCATCATCAGTGGTGTAGAGTACATTGAAAGTTATGGAGCAGGTATGAAGAAATGGTTCTTGATTTATAGTCAGTGTTCTGCTTCTCTGCTAGTGCCAGATGGTTTTAATGGGAGATGCTGGTCCAAATGTTTCCCTCTTAGAGAGGTGTAAACTCTAATGGGTGCAGACACTTCTGTCCTGTCACTTTCATCCTGCCATCCCAGTCTTCTCTCTTCCACATCCTCATTGCCTATCTTAATATTCTTAATGTGGGGTTGTTTTTAACCTAATATGGCACTGTTTGCATTGTGGATCACTGCTATCTCAAAACCAATCATCAGAGGCAGTCGTGTTTTCTTAATTATGATAGCTGTGGTATATCTGAGAATATCTGATCAGGACCAGATACCAGTGAGAAGACTGTAGAACTCAGCCTCTCAGGGTAGCAGATTTAAAGAAAAGCAATGTTTTAGTACTAGTTTTATTTATATCTATACACACACACATATTATATATATATATATACACACACACACACACACACACACACCACATTTTATACTGACTCAGACAACATGATTTATACATCTTCCAATACACATCCCTACATACAACTACCTTCTCAATTAATATCCAATTTCACAATAGCTAGCAGAACCGTCTCAGTACAGAAACTGTGCTGTAAGTTTCTTGCCATTACCTCCAAACACATCAGAAGGCAGGTGGCACTAGATCCTTTTTTTTTTGCCTTTTCTACATTTAGGGCTAAGTCTTTCCAATAACAGTTCTGCGCATGCACATTCTTGCCTTCTCTGAATAAAGAGCTGAATAGCAGACATGTTTGTTCTGTCAGGAATCATACACAGCCCTTAACTCACCAGGTTAAGAGGGTTATTGTACAGAATCTCTGTTTAGTTATATATGATGCACAGTACTTTAGGATATTGAGTGACATTCAAATTTTGGGAGGCTTCTTCCCGTAGAATTTCAAAAGGTGCCACAAGTCCTCCTAACCTTTAGAAGGAGAACAGTGATGTGAAAGACTGCAACATCAAAAGGAATTCTTTATGCTGGCCATTCGCTCCATGCTTAGCTGGGCAAACAAACCATTAAGTGTACAGCGGAAATGAAGCCAGTTGTTCTGAAAAGGCTGTATAGACTGATCCTTCGCTTTCTAAGCTAGCTTTAAATTAAAGACGGACAAGCACTAAGTATACAACAAGCTTCAGCTATGTTAAGTCACTCTTACAAACATGTCTGTTCTTGGACAGGTAAAACGCTCTTCCATCTTGCCGTGTACACCATACCAAATCATGGTTTTACAGTGTCCCTTGAACTGTGCTAAGGATCAAGACTTTGGAGACTTTGCTTGTTCCCATCTACACTGCAAGATAGAACAGTGTTAATACTTCATTTGGGACCTCTGACAGTTGATTCTGTAGTGTAGCCAGGACACAGCCTTTAAATGCTAAAATAGGTGTTCAAATACCATTGTAATGGGTACAGGGTACACTGATTTCAGTACTAATTTTTGGCTAGAGCTGCTTTGTCTTTCATTTGACATTAAAGCACACAGTACTGGAGTTAAGGGAATTGTCACTTTTGAACATCTGTTTTCCAAACCATGAAAAACATAATACATCCCAGACAGATTAGGAAACAAACATTTATTATAAACTGATAGTTTTACAGATCTATAAAAGTGATCAACTTTTTTCAGTACACAGACTAAGAATACATAATTTGAACACAGCCCATTAGAGGCACATGGTGAAAAGTTAAAACTCAAATAGTCTCACGTTCTTCGGCAGTTGAAAATGTCCCCACCACAACTGAACACTCATAATGACACTTATACAATATTAACAAAATGGACTGAGTCTGCTACACAAGAGGCGCTGCATAGGTCATCTTTGCATTGCATAAAGAATATATCTGTTACAATCAAAGGGATAATTGAGAAACAAAACTGGATCCCATGAATTATATGCAGGTACAAAGAGATTGGCAAAGACAAAAGAACATGGACAATCAGATCATAAAGACATTGTACATAAGCACCACAATACCTTCTGTAGAGCAACAGACTCTGGCTTTTAAAAGAAGTGCATAAACTAGACGGCAGGTTAAATAAAGGTAAAGCCAGAAAAAGCTGCCATTTTATAATATCACCAGATTAACTCTCAGGATTTATAAGATCAAGAATGAAAAATGGTTACACTGTGTGTGTGTCTTACATAAAAGGCCAAATTCTATCTGTTCTGTCCGTCCACATGGAATTAGTTCAAATTAACACTACAAAACCAGTTATTTTGTGCCAGTGTTCAGGCCAGCAAGCAGCTGAAATATACCTTAGTGGGGAAGCCATTTACAAAGTGTCTGTACATTAAAATATCCATCCCATATATGGGAGAAACTGTGAAATAATAGCTTATCAAAAATGAGTTCTTGGGCTCTTTGAGTGCTTTGTTTGTATATTTCCTCATTAATATAAAAACCTAGGGCCACTTTAATGGTCTGATTGTGGTGTCCTGCCTAGTCACTCAGCAACATCGTCTCATTTTCTGGTCCCAGTCTGACTCCCTGAGCCAGTGCTCTCAGACCTTCAGGTTCGGAAGGTGGGGGGAGAAAGTGCCTCACATTGTTCAACAGCAACTCCCCCCTCCAGTATTATCAACTAGAAGGATGCTGTTGAACTGCAACCATTCTGAATGGGAAACAAATGAGTCCTCAGACTCTAGGAAGAAGAGGACAGCATTCCAAACCCCATTGAGAAAAATCATTCAAAAGCCTCCCAATACTCAGCCCTGTGATCTTTACTAACTTGCTTGTTTTGGTACACTCCAATTGATACAGCCAGCATCAATTTCATATTAGATATTTCCTTTATCCTGGAACTGTAACCTGCGTTTGCAGGGAGTTTAGTGATCCAGTAGTTCTTTTCTGTTGCTAACTATTAAGATCCTATAAAACTTGCATCAAGAACCAAGGCAGTCTTGGCTAATGCTGCCAGCATTTATAAATTAAGAGAAAAGCAGCCCAGTGAAATGAGCTATGAAGGTCATTGTGACTGTACCATAAAAACATAGAATTTAACTCAGCTTGAGGTATTCTGATGCCATAGAACAACATCCCCTTGCACTTTCATTTCTTTAGAGGAAAAGCAGAGGAATAAAAGCCAAACATTTTGTCATCCTGAAAGAAAAGCTATCAGGAGACAAAGTTTAATGTGGTGTTCTATTCTTACCTGCTTCTAAGACAATGTTTTCCCAGGACTTATTTTAACAGTTTATCAAAAAAGCAATATGCCTTTACAGATGGTAAGTGCAAAAGGACAGTTGTGAATTGCTTGAGTATAAGATGGTGTGACAAATCTATGAGTTTTAATACCAATGCAGTATACACTTCTCCCAAATGTGGCCTCACCCAGTCAAATGCATATTTAAGAGAGCAGTAATTACAAAAAAATTAAAGCGAAGAGCTAAACCGTAGGTGGTTTCCTGATAGTCTTAACGTGTAGCTGATTTAAAGATGCTGTGTTTTTTATTTTTAAAATCCATAGTATATTAATAGCAGTTTGGGGTTGGAGGTTAGAAACTAAGGCAGTTCCTTCCAGCTTGGGGGGAAAAAACAAAACCACAGCTTCTTTGCACAGTGATCTGTTCTCCAATTATAAACAAGAACAAACCAGTTATTTGAGAAATCCTTTTGGTTTGAATATTCCTGAGAAGGCTAGAGGCTTATCAGCTTTTTCCTTCTTTTCATGCTATTCCCAAATTTTGCTTCATTTTTTCATAAACCACATAGCTGATGCTGACAGCCGGAAGCACTTTCATGAAGTTTGGGCCTATGCCTCTATAAAGTCCTAGGATTCCTTCGTTAGCAACTATCCTTTGAAAGAGTCCAACCATGTTTAGCTGTGGGGCTCCTTCCAACAGAGCTGGAAAAGAAAAGGAAGATAGCAATCTCCATTGTTCAGCAGTTCTAGTGATGTTAATATTCTAATCATATAAAGCTCCTCACTACACAGATGCACAACTTACCACCTCTAACCCTACGGACTTGGTACAGAGTCTTCTCAACACTATTTCCTAGCACAGCAACGTCTGCTCTCAGTCGTTAAGTTTGGGGCAAGTCTCTTTCAGCTGCAGACCTGTGCCTTGGAACTCCCTCCCATGAAAGGTCCACAAGAATACCTTGCTTGTTGCACTAACAACATGCTGGAAGTTGATCTATCCTCTCCTGTCTGAGACCTCGCTCTACTACCTTTCTTTTCACCTATTTGCAACAGTTGATAACAGAGTAGCAGCCGTGTTAGTCTGTATCCGCAAAAAGAACAGGAGTACTTGTGGCACCTTAGAGACTAAAAATTTATTTGAGCATAAGCTTTCGTGGGCTACAGCCCACTTCATCGGATGCATAGAATGGAGATATATATACACATACAGAGAACATGAAAAGGTGGGAGGTGTCCTATCAACTCTAAGAGGCTAATTAAGAGAAAAAACTTTTGTAGTGATAAGCAAGATAGCCAGTTTGACAAGAGGTGTGAAAATACTTAACATGGGGAAATAGATTCAATGTGTGTAATGGCGCAGCCATTCCCAGTCTCTATTCAAGCCTCACTTGATGGTGTCTAATTTGCATATTAAAGTTCAGCAGTTTCTCGGTGGAGTCTGTTTTTAAAGCTTTTCTGTTGCAAAATTGCCACCTTTAAGTCTGTTACTGAGTGGCCAGAGAGGCTGAAGTATTCTCCTACTGGTTTTTGAATGTTATGATTCCTGATGTCAGATTTGTGTCCATTTATTCTTTTGCATAGAGACTGTCCGGTTTGGCCAATGTACATGGCAGAGGGGCATTGCTGGCACATGATGGCATATATCACATTGGTAGATGTGCAGGGTGTACATCATCATAGGACCTAATCACATCAGCCACGCCATGAGGGGCTCGTTCACCCACGAAAGCTTATGCTCAAATAAATTTCTTAGTCTTAAAGGTGCCACAAGTACTCCTGTTCTTTTAACAGCTGGTAAGTAACCCTTTTTCAGTGCTGGACTTATTTTCCTTGAGGGTCACAGAGCTTTCCTCTACACCAAATTCCTTGGTCTCCTCTGGCCATGCATTTGCTCTGGTGGTTAGTGCTTTATTTATTTATTTATACAAACTTCAGTTTTGTCCTTTGATTTTACAATATGGTCTTTACATAGCTTGTGATAGGAGCTCCATAAATGGGTTAAAATATATAAGGTGATTGACACAAATCTATAAAATATAAATATTAAAACACACAGAGCTGGAATCTGTAACATGAAGGTTGTGTCAAGCACTAACAAAGCCAATCAAAAGTTTAGGATGGGCAAGGTCAGTATGGTATTAGACACCTTAAAAACAGGTATAGGGATTTTAAAAACAGTAGGGATTATTCTCCAAATTATAAATACCTTTAAAAGACATTCTTCCCAAACCCAAATCCCAATTCTCACCTTGAGCCTGCATGCGAGTTCTGATGAGAGCAAGAGGGTAGCTGGCTAACTGACCACAGGTGCTGGAGACAGTACCACATCCAAGCAACACAAAGACACCGGGGTTAGCAGAGTCTGATGCATAACCATCTAGCCAAGCAGTCTTCAAAGCCTGCCAGGAAAACATAAATAGATTTGAATGAGGTATATAAAAGTTTACAATAGATAGTTAAGCAGACTTTATAGCTAACAACAATATTAAGGTGCTCCTTTGTCTCCATAAAAATATTCCAAATGCATTCATGGGCTCAATCCTGCAAGGTGTTGAGTGCTCTGCCTCAATCCAACAAGCACTTAAGCATGTGCTTAACTTTATGTGTATATAAGTAAGCCCAGTGACTTCAGTGGTATTATTTAGATGCTTAAAGTAAGAGCATGCTTAAGAGCTTTCTTTGATCAGACCACAGCACTCAACAAGTAGAGGATAAAGCCTTATAGTGGTGATCCACAAGCACCACAAAATAAAAGTTAAAAATGTGATAGATAAAAATATTAAATTGTCTTTTCAAGTTTTATTATGAAGCATATTTCTCAGAATTAAGTGACTATACCCCAGTTACATAAGACAGACTGTGCACAGAAGGCTGACAAAGGTATTTCAGATCAAGTGCAGGTGGGAAAATGAGTACCACAATAGAAGACCCCCTCATAGAAAATGCTATCAGGTCTCACCACTGCTTTAAACTTGGGCCTTCAGCTCAAGCACTTCTGCTGCTTGTCTAGACTGGGGAAATGAGTCTTTAAAAAAGTATACAATGTGTTAGCTAATTTGTGTTAATTAACATGTTTTTAGAGACCCCTTTGCACCCAGTGTAGGCAAAGAGAGTGGATGTTTAAAAACATGTTAGCTAGTCCTGGTCAGTCTTAGGGGTCCCATTTAGGGCTTTATAGGACAAAATCAACACTTTAAACCATACCCAGAAGCTAATTGGTAGCCAGTGCTACAAAATGAGCCATTGGTGAAACATGTCCTCAGGGTCTGTCTACACATCAAATTATTCAGAAATATCTATTTCTGATTAAATCCATGTATGGGCGCTCTTATTCTGAATTAGTTTAATCCACTCCCAAAGTAGATTAATATAATTTGGAATAAAACACTCTTATTCTAGAATAATAGCATCCACACATGCTCTTCTATGTGTGGATGCTTTATTAATCAAGAATAGTTAATCCACTTTGAATTCACACCCTATTTTATATCAGATTAATTTTATGTGTAGGCAGCCCCTCAGTGTAAAGCACATTTATGATCTATTCACATTAATATAATCCAGTCATAATGAGAGGGAATAATTACATATGTTCAACTGTATCATAGCCATAGGGCTACATAACATGCAATAGTGTCAGGTGTTTAGGGTTTAAGCTTGTTGTAGAAGGGATGTGCTGCAGGCCAGAGGGGGGTGTTTAAAAAGAAAGATATGAGTATATTGCATTGCAACAACCAGCTATCTAATGTTCTGATTTAAACCTACCAAAATCCGCTTCCAAAACGTAGGCCAGATCCTGCAACACTTACTCATGCCAGCAATGCCGTTGGATGTTACAGGGAAAAAGAGGTTGACTATGAAAGGATCACCTACTTGTGCAAGGGTCCAATCCTGCCACTTTATCTCCCTGTAGTAGTAGCAATATTTATTATTTGTATTACCAAAGTACCTAGGAGCCCTAGGCATGGACCCGGACCCCACTGTGTTAGGCACTGTACAAATACAGAACAGAAAGATGCCCCCTGCTCCAAAGAGTAATAAATTTTCTTTCAGAAAGAAAACATAGAATATAGATAATTCAGGCCTGCCTGGGAGAAGCCCCTACCCCCCCGATTGGCTGCCTTCTCTACTCACCAGCCTCCTGGGAAGGGCAGCCATTCAGGGCTGCTGCAGGAAGCAGGCAGAGCTCTCTCTTTCCCCCCCTCAGGAGCCAAAGTGGTTCTCACAGGAAGGGAGGGGGACACAAAAAAGGTTCAGCAGCTCAGGATAGTTCTGCTCTCTCCTCCCCAGTTTCCTTCCTGTGAGCAATGGCATCGCTCCTCTGCTCCTCTCCTCTCCTATCTCCCTCCTTGCAACAGGCCTCCTGCAGGCCTGGGAAGGAGGAGACTCCACTGCAGCTGACTCCCCACAGGCCTGAAAGAAGAGGTAAAGAATCCCTGAAGCTGCAGAAAGAGCAGATGTGGGGGTGAGAGCTCCCACAGTGGGAGCCAAAATCATCTAAATCCAGACAGACAAAACCACAATATAAATTAAAAAAAACAAACAAAACACTCATGATTCTGGGGGAATCTCATGATTTTGGTGGGTCTGACTCATGATTTTTGAATCATGGGGTTGGCAATACTGTAACACAGTAAGGAAAAATATGTTAAAAACTGGCCCTGAGCATACTACAGCAGATATTTTTTGAATCCACAAATAAGTGTAACTACAAGTAAGTTACAGATGTGAGTGAATGATACATATTTTAAGAGGGTAATAGGAGGGCAGTTTACATTTTTGTGTGTCTAAAGAAATAATACACGCATCAAGTAAACAAACTGACCTCATAGATAGCCAGGTCTATACCAGCATAAGGAATTATGCCCAGAATGTTGGGTACATAACCTTTGTAAAAGGCTTTCAACCCTTCTCTTTTTAAAATCTTCTTAGCACAGTCAAACATCCCAGAGTATTGTCCTGTTTTACCCACAGCCAGTCTGGTCTTTAAGACCTGAAGGTAGAAGAAACGTAGAATTAATTATTTGACAGGTAACGACACAGATTACCTATAGGAAACCTGGCACAACAAATCTTTGCATACTCATAAGTTTCTATTTCCAAAAAGTGAACCTCTTCGCATTTGCTGCTTAAAGTCTCCTTTGTAACAACTAGAGTTAAGGTTCAGTTAGCACTAGTTTTCTCAAGGTTTTATCATTTGTAAGAGGAATAGCCCGCCTAACAAGCTCATGGTTGTGAAGGAACAGGGTGTATTATTTTAGTCAAAATCAGAATAAGATGAAAGTTGTGATTTGCCTTTTTTCCCCTTCTCATATTCAAGAGAGACAATTTTTTTTAAAACAAATTACAAGATATCTAGAGCCTATAATTAGGGCTGTTGCTTAGCAAAATTAGCATTTAGAAAGCAGAGACTGTGCAGGAACATGAACTAATTCCTTCTAAGGCTTCACTGGATCAAGCTTTTCACCTGAGGATTGCAAATCATATTAAAAACATTAAAGACGACTCATGACATCCTTATGAGATAATTAAGGGATATACAGGGATCACTTCACTCACTACTGAAATGCAACACAACAGCTGTTTAACAGTGCCTGTGACTTTACACCAGCATTGCAAGATAGGGAGCGAAGAACACCATGTTCAAATGAAACTATCTGAGCAGGAATTTGGCCTGCTTGGAAGTCTCGTAAGAGATGGCTCCCATATGTGACGTCTGGCACGTCAGCATCCACTCTTGGCCAGGAACACCATAAAAACCAGCTTTACTGCAATACTATGGCACGGTTAGGAAGATGTGGCACAGCTACAGACCTGTAGTATACCACTGCAGTTCCATAGTGCAGAGGCTTCCTACCGTGATGGAAGGGTTTTTCTGTCACTGTAAGTAATCTAGCTCTCTGAGCACCAGGAGCTATGTCAATGGAAGACGGTTTCCACTTACCTAGCCACATCTACAACAGGGCTTTAGGTCAGCATCACTATGGCATTCAGGGGTGAGAGTTTTTCACACCCCTGAGCAATGCAGCTACGTCAATCTAAATTTTAAGTATAGACCAGGCCTTATTGTAGAACAGGGCCTACATACCTCCACACCCATTCTTGTGTAGTATATAAATTGAATATAAAATGACCAACACTGTAACATTTGGTTGCTTTATTCTATGTGCTTAGAAGCCAGCTGTGACTTGATTTTCTAAGGACAATAATGACTCAACTAAAAACAAAAAACTCCACCATAGTTTATGTAGAATGCCATTGTTTTTTTATCTTCACAGAGAGATACTCTGTATCAGAAAGAGTTCAGGGTGAATCACCACTTTATATCAGTTTCAAATCTTGCTGTGATGCTTGAACAGACCTAAATCCTGGTCCCAGCACACAGGTTGGGCAACTATGCTGTGTGATACTAGAGTCATTCATCTTTCAGGCAGAGGAAACTGATTTTCTACCCAGGCTGCAGAATGAAAAATAGCCACTCTGGAGCTATTATTCTATTCTTGAGGCTGGAAAATTTGCTGTAATACCATTCTGAAAGCCGCTACCTGTTGTATGGAGGTATAATAGCAGCGACTCCACAGAGGAGCAGATCAATCTGCCCACTTTGCCCATAGTGCAAGGAAATCCAACAGAGGTAGCTTAACTTCATCTGCACAAGCTACAAATCTAACCCCAACTCTGCACAGCAGACCTGCATTGGTTCTGTTGCAGGCAAGGCCTCCTCACCCCATGCCAGGGACTTGGGCCCTGTAATGGCAGGGACTCAAAGGAGTGCCCCCTGGTGCTCTGGTGTAGAACTGCAGTTAAATTTCTGCTTCAGTTCCCCCAGCGGGTTTTCAATAAGTTGAACAACAAGGAATCCGGTGGCACCTTAAAGACTAACAGATTTGGGCATAAGCTTTTGTGGGTAAAAAAACTCACTTCTTCAGATGCATGCTTATGCCCAAATAAATCTGTTAGTCTTTAAGGTGCCACCGGACTCCTTGTTGTTTTTGTAGATACAGACTAACACGGCTACCCCCTGATACTTGACACCAATAAGTTGAATGATGCTTATATACAGTGAACAATGCCCCTTCAGAGATTTTGTTTATTTAATCAACAGCCAAACAGTGTGTAAACAAGCCTTCTCCTCCCTTAAGTTCCCAGGCTTCTCCTTTGCCTGGAGCTGTGCAGTCTCTCCCCTGTGATCTCAGGGTATCTCCCAGGCCTCCCTGGCTCAAGAGCTTTGTAGTCTCTCCCCTCTGGAGCTGTCTCTCTTTATGTTTTGGGAAGTGTTCCTCTCTCCAGGAGCCTCTGCTACCAATGGGCGTAGTCTCCTACCCAGCTCCTCTGAAGAGCTCTCTTCCCAGGAGCTTCCCCTCTATGTTCTGGTCTCCTGCCTGACCCTCAGAACCATTTATAAACCAAGTGTTTAATTAATTAATTAATTACTGCACAGCTGCTTATCCAATTAACTATCCACAGGTGGATCTGGATTGGCTCGTTTGCCTTAGTGAAGCCTGTCAGGCTAGATGCCTGGCCTTCAGAGGGCCAGTCCCAGTGGCAGGGCCACATTCAGGAAAGTACTTAAGCACACACTTAACATTAAGCATATGCTTACGTCTTTTACTTCATGGGACTTAAATACACACTGAACTGCTCTGCTGGGCTGGTCTACACTGGGGGGGAGGGGTCGATGTAAGATACGCAACTTCAGCTATAGGAACAGCGTAGCTGAAGTCAGCGTATCTTATTTCGACTTACCTCGGGTCCTCACGGCGCGGGATCGACGGCCGTGGCTCCCCCGTCTACTACGCTACCGCTACTCACCCTGGTGGAGTTCCGGAGTCGATGGGAGCATGTTCAGGGATCGATATATCG